GTCTTTTGCCTCGAGACCCACAAAGAGGTAAGTCAAGTTTTTCGGTAACAGTAACAGAAATAAGAAAGGCTGTGACAAGTGTCCGTGGTGGTTTGTGCTTCCCAGGACACCCCTGCCTTCTTTCTATGGCACCAGCTTACTGACCAGTTTAAGACTCAGAGTTTTTGTAAGTATCTGCAAGAGAGTATAAGATCTCGGCCCACAGGAAAGCCAGAAGTGATGGTAAAGCACAGTGATGCCAGTGGAGTGTTCAGGAAGGAGATGTGCCAGAGGGACAGCAGAGCCCTGTCATCTGCTCACCATCAGAGGGTGAAGGAGAGAGAGCAGGAGACCTGGCCAAGCTCTGTGTTTGATACCAAACAGCACTCTGAATGAGGCCACGATCTGTACACTACAAGTCGGAGTGATTCATTTACTACATTTAACTAATTAAGGAGTCATAATGAATTAGCTATCTTTATATCTCCTGTCTCATCCTGATTTTGAGAACATTTCTTTATATTTAGCATCATTAGGCATATGAAATGGAAAATGACCGCAACTGGGCATTCAATTTAACGCATTCAATTTAACTCAACATTCCTGGCAACTAATGTGAGAAAATAAAGCTATAAGAGGAGAAGAAAGAATTTGTAGTAAAGTCTTTCATCCATTCATTTGTAAAAATTCTCAGAAGAAGAAATAAACAGAAAGGTTACCATCCTGAGTATACTATTTGTTAATTATTCTCAGTTTGGGAGAATGTATATAAGTGTAACTAGTGTTTAAAAAACAAAACTCATTTGACACAACATTGTAAAATGACTATAATTCATTAAAAAATGTTTAAAAACAAAACAAAAATACAAAACAAAACTCAACCAAGTAAATTGGGGACCTAATTGGCCTTATTAGGTGATTCATGAATCAGGCAGTGTCCCATCTAACAACTAGAAAGGGGCTCCAGGAGTGGCACAAAACGGAAGGTTTTACGGAGCGGAGGGAGTGCAAGAAAGTTACTAGCAAAGGAGAAGGGTTACTTTGGGCCACGTCATCTTCTTTTTGAGGGGAAGGTAGTAGCAAGTTTTCTTTTTCTTTTCTTTTTCTCCTTTACTCAGTGAATACTTATTGAATAACTTTAATGTACCATGTACAAAACCTGCTTTTTCTCCTCTCACCCTATCTCAGATGATAGCCGCATAGAAAGCATTTTTCTCTTCTGTGCATGTAGACTTTTGCTAATTCCACCCCGGAAGTGTCTCCTGGTTGGCACCCCCTTCTCACTTCTCCCAGTGAGATGAATGCTCATCTCCCTGGGTTCCAGGAGTGGTGCGTTCATACCCTCTAATCCCCTGCGTGTGCTTATCACCTGATCGTGTGGATCCTACTGACTATACTTCAATTTTAAAACATGAAATGAAAAAAAAAGGACCAAGCCCACCGTCATGAAGCTGGTCGCTGGAAATAACTGGGACAGAACTGCGGCAGGGGTCTTTATGTTCCAGGTTACCTCACTTGTGTTGATCAGGGGATTTCAGATTGTCTGTTTTAAAGGTCACATTTCTGGGAGGAACTGAAATAGCAATGAAGTCTTGGTTTGTTGTAGTGGGGGGCAAATGACTCAATTTGGGCTTGTTATTTCTTTTTAACACTCATTTACTGAGGTATCCAACTCATTGGGGTATAAGCATGAACTGGCTTTATTTTTCCCCCAAACTTCCCTAAAACTGTGGTAGGTTGAGCCTCTCTTCCTGAGTGATAGCCCTCTTAACAACTTATTTTGATCCCATATTTTTTTATCTCATAACTGAAACCGACTCTCCCTAAAACTGAGTTTCTTTGCTGAGCTTATAATTAACTTTTCTATCCAAAACCCTTTCTTGTTCCAGCCCTGTTTCCCTCGGAATTGAGGAGTATCAGAGAAAAGGGGGAATCAACCCTGGGCTGGACCCTGTGGGGCCTTTCTGGATACAGGGCCCCTCTATGCCCTGTGTCCTTCCCTTTCTTATTTGTGGAAAAAGTCTTTGGTCTGCTAGGCCCCCTCCGGATTCCAAAGAGCAGATTCAGATTCAAGCAGTTACTAATTAGAGAAGCGAGCGAACGCAGGAACGAAGGAAAAGCAGTCAAGAAACAATAATAGTTCAGCAATAAAACAGAATCCTAATTCCTTCTCCAGGGACACACTTAACCACTGGGTACAGATCTTCGAGTTGTTCTGCAGGAATGAAAGCCCCCACCCAGGTGGAGAATGGGGACTACATGCTGAGACCCCATGATACACGGAAAAAATGGGGCACAAGAGCATGGCCATGTCCCAGGTCTTGATCGAGTCCCTGGGATGTGCTCCACCCAGTGAGGGTCCTCGGCTTTATGCATGAAAGAATTCAAGAGCCAGCCATAGTTGAGTAAAAGTAGATTTATTCAGAGAGATGTACATGCCATAGATAGAGTGAGTGCTGTCTCAGAAGGCAAGAGAAAGGCAGCATGAAGGTCATCTTATTCCAGAAGGGAGAGCGTGAACTCAGAGCATGGAGTTGGCTAGGAATAATGCGATCAGCCGTGAGGTATGGCGGTTGATAGTTTTTAATGGGCTTGGTAACTTCATATGCTAAGAAGTGAGAGGACTATTCCAACTACTTTGGGTACAGGGCTGGGAGTCCCAGGAATCACCCACTTTCTGACCTTTTATGGTCAGCCTAGAAACCGTCCTGGCACCTGTGGGAGTGTCGTTGAGCATGCTACTGTATTACAGTGAGCCTATACTGAAGCTCAAGGTCTACTGGGAGTTGAATCTTCCGCCATCTTGGTGCTAATTGCTGTGTCATTCTTTTAATGGCTGTGCCTTGCCCCCTTCCCTCCCATCTCACCCAGTCAGAGCCAGCAGGCTGATGATTGAGATTCCTGGAGCATCACCCTGGTACCTCAGCACCAACCAAGCAGAAGAAAGTCATGCACCCTGCAGCCCTCACCCCAAAGGTTGCTTTTAAAACCTCTTCCCTGACAACCAATATGGAGTTCAGGTTTTTTGAGCATGAGCCACTCATTCTCCTTGCTTGGCCCTCCCTCCGTTCCAAACTCTGATACTTCAGTTTGGCCTCATGGTGCATCGGGCACATGGACTTGGCTTCAACAACATAAACATCTCTCCCAGTTATGAGAATTCTTTTATGTCAGTGTTTAAGATTCAGTTCTGTTTGACTCTTCATCTCACCTCTGGTACAACTCCCTCCTTAAGTGACTAGGTGAGATTGTCACCCTCTAGAGAGAGACTTGTGTTACTCTCCAGGCTAATCCTTACTGACCATCAATAACAGACTGACGTGGCACCCGCTGCATGGCAGGAATTTAAATGCCAGTCACTTGAGCAAATCTGAGAGCAATGAAGAAATCTACTCAAAATATAGCCACCAGACACAAGGGAGCTAGTGCCTGCACCTGCGAACACCTGCCTTTATCCCACTGTCTTAATCTACTTGGGCTGCTGTGACAACATCATGGGGGACTTACATAGCAAACACTTACTTCTCACAGTTCTGGAGGCTGGGGAGTCCAAGAGCAAGGTGTTCATGGATTCGGTGCCTGGGAGAGCCTGATTCCTGGTTCGTAGACAGTCATCTTCTTGCTGTGTCTTCACAAGGCAGAAGGGACAAGGGAGCTCTCTGGGGCTGTTTTACAAGGACACTGATCTCATTCATGACAGCTCCACTATCATGATCTAGCCACTTGCAAAGGCCTCGCCTTCTAACACTGTCACAATGAGGACTGGATTTCAACATATGAATTTTGGGGGCACCCAAATGATCAGCACCCACCCAAGTGCTTGTGAAGCCGCCTTACTGCAAAAAAAACTGGCCTCTACACCATGATGGCCAAATTGAGAACTGGAGGCAGAGTTTGGGGAGGACAGAAAAGAACCGCTTTATTGCCTTGCCAGGCGAGGGGAGCCACAGCAGCCTCATGCCTTAGAGGCAGTGAGCCCCTCTTGGGGTTGGGGCCTTGAGGTTTTATAGAAAAGTTGGATGGAACAGAAAAGGCTGTAACAATCAGGGCGTTTTACAGAGTGTTGAATTCTTTTCATCTTGATAAGAACTTGTTGTTACAGAGGAATTTAGGAGGCTCTGCCCATTTTCTTGAGGTTCAGTCTCTGACCTTCTTCTAAGACGTCTAAGGTAAAAGGATAAGTTATTCTAAGAGAAGAGTGCACGGGGAGGGGAGCGTGTTTGTCATAAGATCTGTTTAGCTGAAAGCACAGGCCTGAACAACTCAAGAGCCATCTTGTTAGTTTTCTACTCTTTCAACCTCAGATGGTCTACACCTCACATTTTCCCAAGAGAACCCTTGCCTTGGGACCCTTGTTGAGATGGTGCCAACACAAAGACCCAGGTCCTGTGGCCTCCCCCAGGTGACACTTAGTTGCCATGCCCGACGGTGGGTGGCCAGCTGCTTCACAGCCCTTTCTCTCAGTTCTGGCAACGCATTCTTCTTTCTCCTTTTCCCGGGGCATCAGACACCCTGCAGAAGAGACAGTTACCATCCTTGGGGATGGGGCAGAGAAGGAGGAAAGCCCCTGTCTTCCTGACCAGCATACTCCTCAAAGCCTAGCCTCAGTGACCTCTCAGTTCTCTCCTGTGGAGCAGGGATGTGGTGCCGGGGAGAGCAGCCTTTGGTAGGACTAACTTTCCTACTTTCGGTAAGCCCTGAGGGGTGCTGACTGACCCCTACCAGCTGGGTGCTTTGAACTCAGAATGTAGAGTGTTTGACACCTTTGGTACTAAGCTTTCGTCTCCATTCCTGAACGACAGAAAACCTCACTCAACATTTTAAGAGGACGTGCACTGAAACCATATCACCAACCAGCAATTATCAATAACCTCATTTTACCTTGGGCCCTGTGCTAAGAACCAGGGATTAAATATAAGGGATTTAATTATATTTTCCAATAAGCAGCATGATTTCTGATTGATAGCAGAAGACAGAGTACGTACGTTAACGAAACAATGCAAGAAACGGACAGACAAATATCCAGACCGATTATATAATGCGCTTTATTTTCTGTCCATTTCACAGAAGGCACATTTATTTAAGTGGAATGAGCCTAGACATCTTCACTCTGAGCTCCCAGCTTTGTCCATGCTTTAAAATTATTCTTACTTTGACATAACTTATAGAAAAGTTATTTTCACTTTGACATAACTTACAGAAGAGTTGCAAAAATAGTACGGAGAGTTCTGGTATACCTTCCACCCAGCTTCCCCTAATGTAAATTACATAGCCATAGTACGTTTATCAAAACCAAGAAATTAACATTGATACAATACTATTAACTAAAATATGAACCTTCTTCTTTTTTTTTTTTCATTTCACATTTTCCCCACAATGTTCTTTCTCTGTACGAGGATCCCATCCACGACACCATGTTACATTTAGTCGTCATGCCTCCCTGGTCTCCTCCAGTCTGACAGCTTCTCAGTCTTCCCTCGTCTTTCACAACTCTTAACACTTTTAAGTGTTCTGGTCAGTATTTGTAAGATGTCAGCCAATGTTCTGATGCTTCTTATGATAAAACTAGGGTTGTGGATTTGGGGAAGAATACCACAGAGGTTAAGCACCCATGTCCTTGATCATACAGCAACATGACTTGTTACTGGTGAGTTAACCTTGACCACATGGTCAAGGTGATGTGTGCCAAGTTTAGATAGAAACCAAGATCTGAGTGCTAAGTGCACTCATTGCTTCCAGATGATCTAGTGGACAGTTAGGAAATATATATGTATGCCAGCCTGTATGCACACATGTCTGTATTTCCTTTCCTACTTGCTTATTGTCACTTTTCTCTGACAGTAGGAAACCTGCCTCTCCTTATCTATTATATATTTACTTATTTGTTCAACCCAAGTACACATTTAAATAGTTTCAGAATTGCTAAACTATACTCCCATGAGATACAAATTTACCAACTAGACTGCAGTGCTGGTGTTCCAGTTCTTTGTGTCTTTATCTTACAGTTTCGAGGAGAAACACTGTTTTCCAAAGTTAATTAGGCCAGCTTATTTGCTTTCCCCACTCCCATCGGCGAAATTATGTCAAACATTTGTAATACAGCTTGACTTTTTTTTTACAATCTGCATTTTATCGTGGGTTCCCCTGACAGTTTGGTGAATTTTTCAAAAATTTGCATACAATAAAAGTCACTCTTTGTGCCCTATACTTTGTGTATGTGTGTGTGTTTTGACAAATACCGTCATGTTTCCTTCACCATAATACCATACAGAAGAGCTCCATCATCCCAAATGTTCCCCTGTATAGCTCCTTTGTTATAAACCACTCCCCTTTCCCCAAACTTGCCAACCACTCCTCTGTTTTCCAACCCTTTAATTTTTTTGGGGGGGGAAGGGTTAGAGGTAGTTAGGCTTGTTTGTTCGTTTATTTGTTTATTTATTTCTAATGGCGGTGCTGGGGATTGAACCCAGGGCCTTATGCATATGCTAGGCATGCACTCTACCACTTGAGCTATACCCTCCCCACCACCATTCCTTTAATTTTGCCTATTCTATGATATCATAGAAATGGAATCATACAATATTTAGGTTTTTAGGTCTAGCTTCTTTCACTCAGCAACATGCATTTAATATCTGCCCATGCTGTTGCATGAACCAACACTTCACTCCTTTTTGCTGCTGAGTATGGATAAACTCACTGTGTGGATATAGGACAGCTTGCTGTTGAAGGACATCTGAATTATTTCTAGGTTTTGGGAATTATGAATAAAGCTGCTATAAACAGTCATGCATGGGTTTTGTGTGTGTGTGTGTGTGAACACAAGCTTTCCATTCACTTGAGTAAATACCTAATAGAGGAAAGGCTGGGTTGTCTAATAAGTGTATATTCATAAGAAACTGCCAAACAGTTTTCCAGAGTGGATGCTATCATGCTTTGCAACTCCTTCAGCAATGAGCGAGGGTTCCCATTATTCTGTGCTTTCCCCCCGCATTTGGTTGTCCACACTCATTTTCAAGAGGAAGTTGTCCCCCAACCCCATCCCACCTTCCTCCTTCCTTCTGCCTCTTCCTGGATTACAAACTAATCTGTATTCTGGCTTTGCAGCCTGCTGGTATCAGTAAAGGCAATGATTTTGGACTACATGTATCCACTGTGAGCTAAAGGACTCTCCCATTTTTAACCTCCTAACAGTCCTATAAGGCAGTTTCAGCAAACATTCTTAAGCTGATACGAGAGAGAACAGCAACCTGCCTGAGAAGGATTTCTTTCTGGCTTCCTCAAACCTCTGCTCTTGTGGGCCTCTTAGCTCCCACTCGTTTCTGCCTCTTTGTAGCCTAACCAAACGAATCCACCGAAATACAACGGTGATCAAGGGTCTTCACTAGACCCTGCAGTGGCTACGAATCTGGCAGGACAGACCACGTCATGTGGTTTCCAGCTGGGTACCTGAGTCTCAATTCATGAAGAAGGAGCCGTGCTTCAGGCCCCTCCTCAGAGTCCCTGCCTCCTACCTTAGCAGCTCACACGTTCTCGTAGTCGTTGGAGTCTTCATCTGACAGCTCTCCTCCAGGCTCCATCTGACGCTTCTCACTCTGGGCAGATGACTGACAGGCCACACAATCCTTCAAAGCCAGGGGACTCCCTGACTCTGTGACAGGCTGGGTGTGGGTCCTTGGACCATCCGTCCTGCTCGCTACCTGGTCTGCGTTTGAGGATGTCATGTCTTCCTCCTCCTGCTGCTGGTTGCCGCTGGGATCTGCCGGAGGTACATTTTCATAATCTCTGCGGCACTGAAGAGCCACCCAGGGCCGCTTGCCTTGGACAGCCCCGAGATCCAGCCCGACCATGTTGACATAGTCATTTGAGGTCTGAGAAGAATCTTCCCCGTCGCTGGGTGGATCACTGGCCTCAGCTCCTGGAGACCAAAAACTGGTGCAGTCACTGGCGTTCCCACAGCCCTCCTCTCCTTCTCCAGTGAACTCCAGCTCCTCGGCACTTGAGAGGACAAAGAGGCTCCCAGGGGGACTGCTGGTGGAGGCTAAATGCTCGGCAACCTCTTTTGCTGTGGGGACATTGACATAATCCCTTGAATCCTCTGAAGAAGTGCTGGGGCAACCTGTGGGCGCTCTGACATTGACGTAGTGGGCGTGGGGAGCGGCGTGTCCGCGCATCTGGTGCCCCACGGCATTGTCGTAGACGCCCACCGCGTACCCCATGGCGTGAGCGTGGGCTCCGTGCACGGGGGGGGCATCGCCTGCTCGGGAGGGCTGTGAGGAAGAAGAGAAAGCCGGTGAGAGGACAGAGGCAGAAATACAGACAAAGCCTTTCTTCTTTCCCGCCCAGGACTGCTCCGTCTAATGGTTCCTCCACTCAGTTCTCCACTTTCAGAGAAAGCTCTAAAGCAGGGGTCTCAGGCGGCAAGGCTTCAGATGCTAAGTAAGCATGGGGAAGCGCGCTGAGTTGAAGGAAAGCAAGAGTGTAAGTGTGATAATAAATCACAACTGGCTTTTGGCCACAATGTGGGGGTTCAGAGGCGAGTGGGGGGAAGTAGTGTGCACTGGAGAGAGCCTGCCGCCACCCCAGAGCACATGAGCGGCGACCGCATCTTTACCTAAAGGCAGAGGCTTGGGCTCAGACTGAGGGTGCAAGTCCTGGCCTCACCTCTCTGTGCTGAGTTTGGGCGAGTTATCTAAGCTCACTGTGCCCTGGTTTCCTAACTTATAAAATGGGGATAATCATAATAATATCCCCACCATGAGGTTTTTGTGAGAAGTAAATGGATCACCGCATGTAAAATGTTTAGAGTGGCTTCTGACACTTAAAAAATGCTTGGTGTCATTAGTAAAGAGGCAGCTGACACCCAGACTCAGCTGATCACTGCCGTTCAGGAATGCTGGTCTGATGTTTCCAGAACTTCCAAGTTTCCAAGAAAGGCTGGACATCTGGACTTTCACGTGAAATCTTTTAGATTTTTAAATGTTGGCAACTGATTCCAAATGTCCTTCAAACACTGCAAAGTACAGGCCAAACATGATTGCAGGCTTACAGCAGTTTGGGATCTAAACATTAGATGCAAAAATCCCCTCAGGGACCACCCAAGTCCTGGAACTAGTTTTTGCCATGGGGTTTCCTCTGCCCTGCCTTTTATCAGCCACTTAGTCTTGCTGCCTCAGGAATCCTTAGAGGCGGGAGTCGAGCCCAAGGATGGGACATGCAAGAGAAGGAGGAAGCGAAGGTGGCTGCATGGTAATCGAACCTAAGTCTCTGGATAGAGAAAGGCTGGGTACAAAAGAATCGTCATCAGCGGCCAAGGATGGCCACAGAACCAAGGGAACTGACTCTCAGCAAGCAGATGAGAACTTATCTATGAAAACAAAAGATCTTCAAAAGAGTCCCTCTTCTCACCTACACTGTCGCGTGTCTCCTCCCTTATAAGACACACGAGGTTATTGTTGTTAAATGTAACACTCCCCTTGTAGCCTCAAAGGGTATCGCCCATGTGACCACTTGCTACACCAGCTACCGCGCTGAATGACTTACGAGCACTTCTGTTCTAGAGGAGAACTGAAACAAACACAGGTCCTAGGAGTAATTCCCAGAGCAGGGTTTTAAGAGTGTTTTGAGCACCAACAGCACTGTTGGAATATGTGTGTATTCTCCCAAGGTCCTCACTTTGAAGGGGACAACATGTCTTTGGAAACATACATGATCATATCTCTGTTAAAATAATCTATTTCAGTTCCAACACCATGTTCTTGAACACACGTGCCCTGGTGCCTTTCTTAAACCCAAGCTTTTGGGTCTATCTTTCTTTCTTTTTAAAATGTTTTTTGCATGTGTGTGGTAATCAGGTTTTTTTATTTATGTATTTTTAATGAATGTACTACTGGGAATTGAACCCAGGACCTCATGCATGCTAAGCATGCACTCTACCACTGAGCTAACCCTTCCCTCTGCTCCGACCTGTCTAAATTTTTTGCCTTGGGCAGCAGGGAGGTCCTGGGGCTAGTCTTCCCAGGCTGCTAACCGCTCCTCAGGAGGAGGGCTGGAGGCAAGCTGCTGCAGTGAAGTGAGCCCTGAGACCTAGGGCTCTTTCCCTTCGCCTCTGCTGCCTGGGACTCGTCATTCCTCCCGAGGGGGCCGCCATTTCCACCTGACTCTTACCACATACTCGGAGGGAGGGCTGTCAGAGTTTCTGGAGAGGAGGCTCTCGGTACTGAAAACACGGATACTCCTTGATGGATGTCTCCCTGAAAAGACGGAGAACAGACCCTGAACGTGGTCAGCCAGTCCTCCGAGGGCTTCCGCCCCAGCCATCCCCGCACCCTGCGCCAAGCGGCTTCGTGTGACACCTGGTACCTGGGGCCTGGCGTTCTGTGGGGAGAGGGTCAGAGCCACAGGGCTGGTGTGCTCTGAGACCTGGAACCCTCCCCAGCCAGCTGAGGACAAAGGACACTAGCACAGGAGCTGGGGAGGCGGGGAAGGAAGCTGGGAACCCTCCCTGCCTGCGAGGCTGGAGGCCGGGTTCCCCTTCTGTATGTCTTTCCCATCCCTAGACTTACCCAGCTGTCCTCTGCTAACTTTATCAGGAAAAAACAAAACTGTAATATATGTGAATCAAACCATCATGCTGTACTCCACAAACTTCAGTTACACAGTGTCAATTATTTTTTCAATGAAACTGGAAAACAAACACCCCCCCCCCAGATGACCCCTGCTCTCTTCTTAGAGCTCCCAGGGCCCACACTGGAGTTGCATCTTGGCGGTCTGTCTATCCCATTCTCTTCCACGCTCCCCGAAAGGCAGAAAGTTCTGGAAGGTTAGACAAAGTTGCTTCCAGGTGCTGAGAGGTACATTCAGGCGGCAGAAGTTCTGGAGGTCTGGACTCAGTGGATTAGAAAGAAAAACCTACCCAGCTCTTCTTGTCTTCGGGGCAAGAGGTCATAAATATTTTTGGCTCGTTGTCTGGGTCGAGGCAGAGTCAGTAAGGGCATGACGGTAACTCGGAAGTAAGGAACTCTGTCTGCAAGGCAATGAGAGACGTGGGGTGGTGGCAGGGCCCAGCAGCACAGAACTCGGGGACTCAGGGATGAGATGCCCCCAAAAATATTCCCCACCCTCGCCACATATCATAACAAAAAGGCATCTTCAGACTTGACCAACTCCCTTTGATCTAGAAGAATCGGGGACTTGGTGGCCAGCAGCAGGAGGAGAAACCCCGGGCACAGGGGTACCAGGGCAATGACTTTCAAAATGGAACTTGACTCTCACATCAACAAGAGAAAGGACAAAAACCACATGATCATCCCAATCGATGCAGAAAAAGCTTTTGATAAAATTCAACACACATTTATATAAAAACTCTCACCAAAGTGGGTATAGAGGGAACATATCTCAACATAATAACAGCTATATATGACAAACCTACAGCCAGCATAGCACTCAACAGTGAAAAACTCAAAAGCTTCCCACTAAAATCTGGGACAAGACAAGGCTGCCCACTATCCCCACTCCTATTCAACATAGTCCTGGAAGTCCTAGCCACAGCAGTCAGGCAAGAGAGAGAAATAAAAGGATCCAAATTGGAAAAGAAGAGGTAAAAGTGTCACTAAATGCAGATGACATGATATGATGTATAGAAAACCCTAAGAGGTCCACACAAAAACTACTAGAAATAATCGAAGAATTCAGCAAGGCAGCAGGTTACAAGATTAATGTTCAAAAATCAGTTGCATTTCTTTACACTACTGATGAATCAACAGAAAAAGAAAGTAAAGAAACAATCCCCTTTAAAATAGCGCTCAAAGTAATAAAATACCTAGGAATGAATCTAACCAAGGAGGTGAAAGACTTACACATGGAGAATTATAAAACACTGATTAAGGAAATTAAAGAAGATTTTTAAAAAATGGAAAGATATCCCATGCTTCTGGATAGGAAGAATCAATATTGTTAAAATGGTCACACTGCCCAAGGCAATCGACAGATTTAATGCAATCCCTATCAAATGACCCAGGACATATTTCACAGAACTAGAACAAATCATAATAAAATTTATATGGAACCACAGAAGACCTAGAATTGCTAAAGCATTACTGAACAGAAAGAAAGAGGCTGGAGGAATAACTCTCCCAGACTTCAGACAATACTACAGAGTTTCAGTCATCAACACAGCATGGTATTGGTACGAAAACAGACATATGGACCAATGGAACAGAATAGAGCGCCCAGAAATGAACCCACAAACTTTTGGTCAACTCATCTTCGACAAAGGAGGCAAGAATATACAATGGAATAAACACAGTCTCTTCAGCAAATGGTGTTGGGAAAACTGGACAGCAGCATGTAAAACAATGAAGCTAGAACACACCCTTACACCACACACAAAAGTAAACTCAAAATGGATCAAAGACTTAAAACATAAGACAAGATACAATAAACCTCCTAGAAGAAAATATAGGCAAAATATTATCTCACATACATCTCAAAACTGTTCTCCTAGGGCAGTCTACCCAAGCAATAGAAATAAAAGCAAGAATAAACAAATGGGACCTAATGAAACTTACAAGCTTCTGCACAGCAAAGGAAACCATAAGTAAAACAAAACAACAACCTAAGAATGGGAGAAAATTTTTCCAAATGAAACTGACAAAGGCTTGATCTCCAGAATATATAAGCAGCTCATACGACTTAATAAGAAAAACACTAACAACCCAATCCAAAAATGGG